CCGCGAGGCCTGTGGTGCTGCCGCGGAGCGGCGTCCGGCGGCTGCCACACACCGTGCTCGGCTTCCCTGTTTTGTCCGCCTCGTATCGTTTTTTTCACCCCCAGGGCACTTAATAAATGACTTACTAAATGCTTGGTGTCTTCCTGGGAGCTGAAATTAAGTCTGTTGGCTTTAGTATCGGCTTGATAGGAACCCAGGATGAATCCGAGGTGAACAGGTGTCCTGTTCTCGACTTCATGTTACTGTTGCTCACACGTTTTCTGTGCTTACGAGTTTGTCACTAGGGCTGAGTGAATCATGTCCACGATAAAGGTATGTTTTGTTTGTGTTTTTTTCCCTTTCAGGAAAGCGCTAAAAGAATCAGATTACTGAATTCATCCTCAAAAGATAATACAACTGCATTCTATGGCATAAATCAGTTTTCTCACCTGTTTCCTGAAGAGTTCAAAGGTACGTTTTCTGGCTGCTTCTAATGCCTGTTCTGTTATTGTTCTTGTTCTTCCCCAGAACCTTGTATCTTTTTACAGATCCTTCCAGTGCTGACAGTCAGCCAATTTACAATGTCTGGTACCAAACTGTAAGTACTTCTGAGATATACAGCAATCCTCTTAATGTGTCTCTCTGCTTGCAAGGTTGAATGGCCCAGAGCCTGAATTTTACTTGGTATGCAGACCTTACCTCCCTTCATTAAAGACTTCTTCAGTTGCAACAGTTCTAAAACTGGAAAATGCACAAGGTTCTTGAGGACTTTAAGTTCCTATTCTGTAGGCTGCAATCCAAACAATGCTTGGAGGTTCAGGGCTGTACAGTGATATCTATGACTTTCAGGAGCAGTGCGCAGGAGCAAGGTTTTTTTAGTAGGAAACTTTGTCTGATTGCTAACCTAGCTTATTGCTGTTAAAGTCTGTTCTTGTATGTTCTTTCCGTTGGGGGATTTCACACTTTTAAAAATTTTAAATAATTAAATAGTTTTTTCTTTTAGTGAAAAACTAACCACTTGACTGTGTTTTAGAATCTTTACATTATTGTCTTATTTTTCCCCTTTTTGCTTGACTAAAAGTATTTTTCCACTAAGCAAAATGTTGTTCAAATTTTTGTATGAAACCTGTGTTATTGAATGTTTATTGATCAACTAGTAAATCTATACACTTTGTACCTACATTCCCTACATCACATATCTCTGTTCTTTCTAGGACTGTGGGAATATTTACATGCATTCTGGGGTATAGTGATTATTATAAAATACATTCATTTTCTGTGGATTTGAGAATGAGATGTAATCTCATGAGTGTAACTGTAGGTAAAATTTACCTCTGTGGCCTCTAGTAAGACAGTTGTTTGTGATTTCTTTATATAGTGGATTTATAGATGTTTGCATTCTGTGTTTAGCTATTTACTTAAGAAGCATACCTCACAAACTTCCCAGATACGTAAAAGTGCCAAATGGAGAGGAAAAGCCTTTGCCAAAGAAGTTTGACTGGAGAGACAAGAAAGTCATTGCACAAGTGAGAAATCAGCAAACAGTAAGTCCTGGTGTTTTCCTTTCCTGCTTCTCAAGCAATGCTCAGAGACAGTTCCAGCACATTGTAGAGCACTGTGAAAGTTTTGGAAGTGACCAGCACTATCTCAAGATTTCTTGGAGCCCCAGCACAAGTATGGCCAGCTGAATATATACAAAATGACATAGCATTTTATTCAAAGTGAGATCAGACTTTAAAACATGAGATGTAAAATTGTGCATTTAGAAATTTAGAAATAACTTTTTTAATCTAGTTGACCTGTAAATAATTTGCACCATGTGTGTTTTGTATTTTTCTGAAGAGACTGAGGTAAGTTCAGTACCTCTCCTCATCCCCCTGTTTCACCTGGATGGGTATAGGTCTTTTGCTGTTGTTTTCTCTTGTGGTTGAATACCCTTAGCTGGTCGACACCCAAATCTTTATAACAACTTAGGGGATACATTCATGATAGGAAGATAATCAAACCCCACATGATTATTGTTTATCCCAAAGTGGTTATGGTCACTGGTAAGAAACAAATAAGCTGTTACATGCCCAATGTCTTTGCTTTCTGTGCTTTACATAGTAACCTGGAGCTTGCCTAGGAATAAATTCTCCTTCCTGTTTTAAATGCCACAGTGTGAAGAGCCTGGAGCTGCAGTACAAAGTCTGTAACTGGCAAAGAACTTTTCTATTATGTTTCATTTCAGTGTTGTAATCTACTATATTTCTGTAAAATTCTTCAGACTGTGGAAAGTTGTAGATTGCCTCCTGAAGAGCAGCCTTTTCAAGAACTTACTAACTAAAGTGGTTCAAAAATAATTTCCTCCTGAGCCCCAACCCTTCTTCAAGAAAATAGATAACCTCACAGCAAAAAGCATCCTCAGACCTATCTTAAAGGGGCAAAAATTAATCAGGGAGGAATGCTTAAAGTAAGGCAACCACTATGCATGGATCTTTAAAATAAGACACCCATCATGTGTTTCTAGCTTTCAGAGAGCACTAGAGGGGAATAAAAGAGTATTTTAAATGAAAAATGAAGTTCAAGGATGATGCAGTAAGTGAAGAGCATTAGAAGACCCTTTTGACTCTTTTTTTTTTTTTTTAAGCCTGATATGAAAATTAAAAACAAAGCTGACTTTTTCTTTCTTCCATTTTCCTTTACTTTGTACCAGTGTGGAGGCTGCTGGGCTTTCAGTGTTGTGGGTGGTATAGAGTCTGCCTATGCAATTAAAGGAAATAACCTGGAAGAACTCAGCGTACAGCAGGTTATTGACTGTTCGTACAATAATTACGGCTGCAGCGGAGGATCCACTGTTAGTGCTTTGAGCTGGCTGAACCAGGTTTGAAACTTTCATAAATCATTAACCCTTCCTTAGCTTTCCTATTCTTTTTTCACTAGGAAAAAGTGATGGAGAAGGTAGAGTGTACAGCTGATCTGAATTCTTTTAATGGATGTGTGCATATGTATGTATATATGCATATAAATGTGCACGTGTGTGTGCATGTGTATTTATTTTGCCTGGAATCAAGAGAAAGTTTGTTCAACCAGAATTGAAATCTACTTGGAATTTTGTAGTCTGTATACGTTCTTGTGAGTGTTACACATCAACCCACAGGGGAGGAAGACAGTGTTCCTTGAAAGCTACAGTATTTCCACTTAATTTAATTGGGACTGCAAACATACAGTACTAGTGCAGAAGGAGCCATTTTTCGGATTTGGGTGTCGAATTAAGCACCAGCATCTGGGGAAAAGGAAGGGATGTTGAGATTTTCGGCTGTCAACTTTCTGTGGTTTTGTTTGCAGACACTGTGAAATTGTGGAGGAGTGTGGAGAACGTCAGAAAAAAATAGACCCTGTTTACCTTTGTTTCACTTGCAACTCAAAACAATGAAAATACGGACATAGTTTCTATTTTAGTTGTAGCTAACATTTCATTCATGAAAAATGCAAAATGTGTATTAATAATACATAAAAGCATAAACATTTCAATATCTTTGAAATAAAAAGTACTCTCTCTAGGATGAGTTTGCACTTTAAGAATATAAAAAGAATCTCTTAGGTTTTTAACATTATTTTTTTAATATTATTGTCCTTTATAAGAAACTCTGTAACCCCTTAAGATTCATCTAACCCCAGCTAATAATAATCTAGATAACTTGCTTAAGTTTGCATTTCAAGAAAAACAGAGGTTACTCTCCTGGGTTCCTCTGAAGCAAAATTCCCTCTTTCATGAGAGGTACAAATGAATTAGACAGGAGGAAACAGTGTCATAAATACACTGTACTGCATAAGACAATAAAAGTATTAAAAGTTGATGCAGTAGCTTTGCAGCTGGACTTCAAATTGGCAGCCATTGTAGTCACTATATACTGGCATGATGATTTAATGCTAATAGCAGAATTGGACTTAATTTCAATATTTTATATAACTATTCTTGTCATATTTGTGGCTCTTGAACTGTCCCAAGGAGAGGATAATTTTGTGTTTGGATGTCATTTGAAGACCATGAATTCATTGGTTGTGTCTTGAATTGATGAGATTGCACGAGGCTAGTTTAAACCAGGGACACCCTTTAAATTTTTCTTCATTGTTCAAAAACTTCTGAAGCTTTCTCCACAAACAAGGAAACTAGAGATATTTACTATCTTATTTCCCAACATGACTTCCTATTTCTCATGACATGATGAATTTTGAGTGAGTTCTGTGCTCATTTTCAAGGTGTTGCAATCTGCATAGTGTTAAAGTCAAATGCATTACATTCTCATTCATTTATCTTCTTTTCAGACAAAAGTAAAACTTGTGAGAGATTCAGAGTACACTTTTAAAGCTCAGACAGGACTGTGCCATTATTTTGGTCCCTCAGGTTTTGGAGTTTCAATAACAGGATTTGCTGCATATGATTTCAGGTAGCTACTATTGATTCTTTTTATTTGCTGTACTTTTCCTTCTGCATGGAGTAAGCTAGAGCCAATAGTACATTGACTAGCCAAAGGTTATGACGCAGATTGCATCAGTTCTGTAGCTGTGTACTGGATAAAAATTAATACGTAACATTTTTTAAGTGTTATGGCCTGCCAAAATGAATCCACTAAGTCCTGCCATTACTGAGCTTTTTCAAATTAGAAAGCTTACATCAGTGTCTTAAAATTAGGTCTTGTCAGTTGGCAGTGTTTAAAATGGACCTTTGAGTCAGAAACAACTTAAAATACATGCTAAGTGAACATTACATTGCTTAGTATTAGAAATGGTAAATCCTACAAATAGTAACTGGGATTTGTTGAAGAATTTAGGCAGTGTTCAGTTATTTTAGAATTTATCCATTTACATACCCACCTGCATCTTCCTCCAGTCCATAACTACTGGATTTTGTAAAGACAACTGGTATTTTTTAAGGTTTCTGTACCAAGAAATTGTTTTCTTTTTTGTCAGTACAGTACAGCTGCAAACTGAACTTCAAGACAAAAAATGTAAGCTTGACTAGGAATTTAATTACTAGGAATTGAATTACTGTCAGATATAAGTAAATAAAATCAATTAGAGCTTTGCCAGTCTGTATTTGCCAAATGTAGTTACTGCACATAAAATGCAGTGATAAAAAATTCTAGTTCCTGTATATTATGTAAGTAAAACTGTATGAGGATGCTAATGGTAATGTCTGATAGTGGTAGTGTCCTGGTTTTTGTTATGTTTGGGATACATATTTTAGTGTATTATGATGTATTATATGAGGTACTTCTACATGTTTGAAAAACGGGTGGGAAATAATATAGACTAATGATTTGTCCAAAGCTGGGTTTTAATTGAGAAGTGCTGTATATAAAAGATACATAGTGCTTACCATTGCCCACTGACTTGACCCAGAAACCTGCTTCTTTTTAATAGCATCTTTGGATCTACACTTTTCCCATAGTCCATGTGCCCTATATCTGTATTACTGTGTTGTAGTATATGAAACACGTATTCATTGATCTATGTTATGTGATGTGTAGAACTCATAGGAAACAGTTGATTGATTTTTAAGTTGTACTTTACAAGCAGATTACCACCTCTCCAATTGCTTTAGTGTGCTAACTTAACTCACTTGACATTATCACTTGCTCCTTTCACAGCGGTCAGGAAGAAGAAATGATGAGGATGCTTGTTAACTGGGGCCCCTTGGCAGTAACAGTAGATGCAGTTAGCTGGCAGGATTACCTTGGTGGGATTATACAATATCACTGCTCCAGTGGAAGGGCAAATCATGCTGTTCTCATCACTGGTTTTGACAGAACAGGTGTGTTTCCACCAACTGAACTTCAACCAAGTAGGTTTTGTGTTTTCTCTCTTACTTGCAACTTGCTTCCCTTGTGGCAGCTGATTAAAATCCAGAATTGGGTGGTTTGTTGCGAGCTGCTTAGTTCGGTTCTGAAACTGCAGCTTGATCCCAGGAGAAAACAGCTCTCTTTGTGCTCCTTCAGTTCTGTGGGACTTCATGTCCTTGTAAAGTCACAAAATGACTATACATGTCTTTATGCTAACAAAGGTTACATGCAGTCTGTTCAACACTGGACTATTAGCTCTGTCCTCTGTGCGGTAGGTTTCACAGTATTACATCATAAAACCATCAGAAACTATAAGATGCTAAATAACTCTGTTGTGTTAGAATTTTGTTATGCTGCCATGTCTCATGTTGTCCCTTGTTTGTGAAAATGTCTCTTCCAGGTAGTATCCCTTACTGGATTGTACAGAATTCTTGGGGGCCTACATGGGGAATAGACGGCTATGTTCGTGTTAAGATAGGCAGCAATGTCTGTGGTGAGTCTGATAAAAAATCATGAAAGTGGTAAAGCTCACATGCTGGGATACGTTTCTCCATGTAGGTAAAGCAAAAGAATGGGATACTAAGAGAGGAAGTACAAGTTACTGCTATGGTTTAAAAGAGATTGGATGAGTCTAGGTGGAAAAGTAAATAAATCATTTGGTAGTTTAACCAAGCTGTATAGCTGAATGACTGAAAAACACCATGCAAAGGTAAACCTATGTAAGGCATAACAAATAAAGTGCTCTTGTACCAACCTTCTATGTAAAGGTGATGGTATTGTAAAATATACAGTGACATATCCTACTGCTAGGGTAGTGCCATTGCTATACTCAGGGTATGTAAACCAGCTGCTGTCCTTCTGTGGTGGATTTAAGTACATCTGAGCTCAGTTCAGCTGGATCTGCCTGTGCTTGGAAATTGTGTACCCTGCTTATGGCTTTTCTTGTAGGATGGAGGTTGGTACTGTTGTTACTCGTTCTGTCTGCCACCCTGTTACTTGTCTGCATAATATTTTTCTTGGTGTTTGAGGGGGGTCTGTAGTGTTAAATATGCAGTTTCTTCAGCATTGCTGGATATGGAGGTAAGGCAGACGAAACTCCTGATTACCAGCAAAGATTGCTAAGCCAAATTGGTAGGATTGGACTACTAGATAGTAAGTACTGTGTCCATTTAATTTTTGTCTGTTAGATTAACAGTGTAGGTCCTGTGTTGGCTTTCAATATTGGATGTTTCAAGATTGCTCTCACAGTCATTGTAAAAGGTGTTGGGCGATGTAAATCATTGTAGAGAAGCACAAATAACATTCAGTTTCTCTGCACTCAGTAAAGATGAGGACAATATATCCAATCATAGCTTTACCATGTTGCCGAATTATTTTTCTTGTTGTATCAGCAAACTATTAGGCAAGAGAAATTTAGAAGCAGTGATAGTTAAAGCAAGTCAGTTGTAGAACTGGTCAGGAAGAAAAGCTGTGTCATTTTCAAAACCCATGCTCTCAAAAAGCAATATTTTTTCACATTTTCTATAGTGTGTCACACGAGAACAATCCAGCAAAGGTCAGTAGTTGCTCTGTTTCCCTCACAGATGTTGTCTTCTGATTTAGATATGCTCTGACACCACTTTTGATGGTTTAAGAGCCATCACCTTTGATACCTTCACAGGCTGTAGTAAGGCATAGCTTTTAGTGCTGGAAGTAATACAACAATGCAAATGGAAGTTGTGATTTCTAGTTTCTTGGTGAGCTTTCAAAGGTACATAGCTTCATACTGCCTATCCCTTGCTAATGAATACAGTTAAAGGGAAGAGGGTATCAAGGTTTAGATCGCTTCTCAGCAGCCAGAATTGGCCAATATTGAATCCTCAAAAAGGATCTAAAGTTTTGAACATGGAAGCAGAGAAGGGAGTGTAGAGCATAGCTATGGTGTCAGGCAATGAAGAAACTGAAGAAGTTTGCAATTAAGGGTTGCAGCTGATTCCCTGCTCCTTCTCCCTACAGTTCACTTACTGTCATGGCACAGCAGAGAGGGTATATGAATGGGAATTCTGGAAACTTAGTTCTGGCAAGTCTCCACTTCTGATATTCATTAATTTGTTTGTTTGTTTCATTTGTAGGTATAGCAGATACAGTTTCAGCAGTATTTGTTTGACACTTACTGTCCAAAGACCATGATTATTGTTTGGCACTCGTTGTATTGGCACTTACTGAAGATTTACTTCAGAGCAACATTTTCTAAAATAAGAAGTGACTGCAAGGGCAATTTCTGCTCTTAGGCAGTACAGGAGTGGGTTGGCTGGAGTTTTTTAAAAGTGTTTTTATTGGACTGTGTGTTGCATGTCAAATACCTTGTGGAATATGAAGACTCGGAATCAATTGCATAGTACACAAAAAGAAGTTACCAAGATGGGCTGAAACTCTGAATGTACTACTCCATGAAAAAGAAAGAAGTGATGAAAAGTGATAAGGAATTTGGATCAAATAATCAGTAGTATGACAGAATACATCAAAATGCTTTGGATATAAGAACTACCATGATTAGGTCTTGTTTTATTGCAGGAAGAGCAGTAGGAAGAAAAGATTCTTTCTGTTTTGCTTGGATACTGATCTTGGCTTTTCTAGCACTTCTAACAGATGCATATTTTATCTTCCTCCCTTTTATGAGATCCTACTGTTTCTCTACTGCTACAATAATATAAGAAAATAAATGCAAAGTCGTTGTTTCCTGAGTACCCCCTCTATCTGCAGTCCTTCAGTTTCAGCCTTCAGACCTTTGTTGGGTAAACATCTTCAGAGCAGGGAGTGTGTATTGAAAAATGCCTGGAAAAGTGTCTTCTGCATTAATTTGTTAGATGGATGGAAAAGTAAGAAGTAACTGCATGTAGACAAACCAAGGCAGTTCTAGTGATGAAACATCCTGGTTTCTGGCAGGATGTTTGGAGATCAGCATTGCTGTGCTTTGAGAGCTGTGTCAGTTTCATGCCTTCTCTCTTCTCTGCTTCACAGCTACCAGGGAAGCCAATTGCAAAGCAGAAATAAACCCCCTTATTTATTATAGAAAAAATTGTGTGCGTGAGGATTGCTAAGCTGTTTGTCACCTTTGGAAACTCAGCAATTACAGAATACTCCATATAGAATGGATGTTAAATTTCTCTACATTAATTTAATTCATAGGTGAGAATTGCTGGGAATCATAAGGTAGTTCCAGCCCTGGCTGGCCTGTAAAACTGCATTTGCAGGCAAATGTAACTAGACTTCAAAACTAAACGTGTAATTCTAAAATGCTCTGAATCTTTCATCTGGAACGCTGTCCCTGTATCATTTCTGAAGCATTACTATAAAAAGTATTGAAGCAATTTTGTGATTTTTTGCACTTAATTACTATATCATAGTAATAGATCAATGTTTTGTTTTCTTTTTATGACAAATGCAATCATAATTGTCTGTTGTTAGTATTGTCATTTTAGTTCTCCTACTTTTAAGTGTTAATGTTTTAAATTATGAAGGCCTACTGTGTATTTCCAAGGGAAGCATTTAAAAAGACAAGAGTCCATCTAATGAGAAGACAACACAGCTTTATCAATATTCTATATTGATATATATACATACTGATATTCTATACAAATTTTATCCTTATTTCAATTATATTTTTAATAAAAAAACATTTCAAATACCTGTCATACTTTTGTTTAAATTTTGTGCTTGCTTTAGAAGGAAAACAAAATATGACCTTTAATACTGCTTTATTTAAATGGCAAAGTACTTATTTGTATCTGCTATTCTTAACAATGATTTTCTAGGAAAGGGATTTACATTCATAAGTAACACATAGATAGCAACATGGTTTTTGATGGATGTAAAAGTTCAAGATGCTTGGATTTCTCTAGATTGAGGAGTTATTTTTTTAATCTAGCTTTTGAAACTCTTAACCCAAAATTCCTTTTGAAATTCCACTAGAGTTCAGAAACTAATATTCTTCTGAAGGTGCTGAGACTAATTGCATCCTCAACTAGAAGTTAGTTAAAAACAGCCATTAGGAAAAAAAAATACAAAGATATATACAAATATTACACGATCATGATAATTATAATTTGCTTCCTCTCTCTAGGTGCAGGTTTTGAGAAGCCAACTAAGAGTTAAATGGGTCACTGGCTCAAACCAGGACAGACTATCATTTTAGTCTTAATATAAGCTAACTCAATACAGATTTATTTTTTTTTTTTACAATTAAGTTTCTTCCATGAGCTGTTCATACTATTCACATAGCCATCATACATAAATACATATTTACACACCCACACTGCATGAGAATAGCTGTTATATTTGAGGGATAACACCACTCAAGGTGAAAGTCCTCAAGTTCTTCACAGCACCCTGTCTAGGAAGGCAGGCTAGTCAGAGTCATCACTGCTAAAATAGGAGCTGTCACAGTATTCTGCTGTGTAGAGGAACTTATGAATGTTTGGGTTCATCTTTGGTATCCAGTGTCTTGGCACTAGAAATGTTGAAAGATTAAACAAATCCACAAACACCTTGTATCTGTCACTGGAAAAGATAATTGGAAAAATTAATACTGTGATATCAGCATAGAAAGCCATAATTTCAAAATCCTTAGGAATCATTCCATCATTTTTATTTACTTCGTAAGATTCCTGCACTAACTTGCCTGAATATTCCAGAGTAAAAATCCAGACCTAACTGTTTCTAGAGAATAGTGTTAGACATCAGATTAGTTTTAAGAAGGAAAAATGGTTGTTCCAGTCATGTTTTTCTTCTGAAAATGCAGAGTACGTAGGCTATTATCTCCAGACCTCCAGCACTGTGGTAGATATTAAGTAGAATTTAATTTAGGGAGAATGTTAACTTGAAGGATGAGTGAGAAAGCTTGCTGAAAAAGACAGACTTTAATAATGTGATTTAATCAGTCTGTCTGTTTTCTATTCCACACACTCATGACGGTTGTGATGGGAATTGTTGCTACAGCCCTACATGGCAGTTATCAGCTATGGACAGTTTCTCTTTGAAAACAACCTCAAAGAAGGTCCTCTTAGAAAAAGATGTTTTAAATACCCTTGTGCTTTTTGACCTAATGCTGTTCAGGACTGTCATGACCCAGTTGCAGCTAAAAGTCTTGACTTGTCAAACTAGCTGAATCCTCTGGCTCCAGCGAGCCGTCTGAAACCTGCCTGCTGGCATTAAGAGTATAAACTGTATTATTGCAGGTAATGGGGGAAATGCATTATTCTTACCTCACTGTTGAGCGCAAATACTGGTAGCCTGATGAGCCTCCAGTGCCAGCTTTGCTGCCAATCATTCTGTGCACCAGGCAGACATGGTTATCTAGGTAATACAGAAGAAGGACATGGCATGTTTTCAGTGTTAAGATATAACCAAAGGGTCACATCTCACATCGAGATGCATTGCAAAAATACTAAATATCATACAGAGGTCTTTCCAGATATAAAGAACTATTCAGTCTTCAGCAATGCAGGAGATAATTATGCCACTTTTCAGTCAACTAGCATAAAATTATTGTTAATACAGAATTAACACACTAATTATTATGCTCTGTTAATACGGAATTAATACGTTTATTTATAGATGTCTAGATAGGGAAGAAGCAGGAGGACTACATATCAAGGGTTGTCATGATGACATTTTGGCAGACATTGAAAAATATATCTGTCCCTTAAATAAAAATGTTCACTGAAAGAAGTAATAGCTACACTCATATATCTAAAGATCAAAGAAGAAGCTGTTCATCTTTCCTCCTGGCCAAAGTACAAACAAAATAAGTAATTCTTAAAGAATGAGCTCACAAGCTTAGTTCTAAAACTCTGGGTATAACATCTACAAAAAAAGGGTGAAAGAGAACAGTTTACTTGCACCTAAAATAGGGAGTGTCACAGTCAGAATTTGAAACTCACATCTCCATTTGGTCATGAGCACATCGATATCCATAAGGGAGGTAAGAAGCTGAAAGGGAACCTGAAAACGAGGCTCTTCCCTGGGAAAATGGAAGAGAAGACAGTGACATGTCTTGTGATGTACTTCACTTCTCAGAGTATCGCTTCACCAGTGTCTAACTGTGTCAATGTATATTTTCCCTAAATTGGTATTGAAATGTCAGAAGATATTCTAACAAGTGCCTCTGCCATGTAAGTCTCAATCTGTGCCTTTTTGCTCACACTTGGAAAAATAAATCTTTCTGGGACACTGTGTTCAACACCTTGAACAAGACAACACCTTTGGTCGTTCCAATCTGAGGAGCAGCATCTGGTCAGACGCAAAACAGCTGCCTGGAGATGCTGTTTAACCTCCGTCCTTGAAGATACTCAAAACTCAATTGGACACAGCTATGAGCAGCCTGATTCGACCTTCAAGTTGGATCTAGCTAATCTGGGGTTTTGTGGAGGGTTGAACCAGGTTATTTTCCGAGGCCTGTTCCAACCTAAATAAACCCGTGCTGCTGTCCTTAACCATCACCACTCCTCCTGCCAGCAGGCATTAAAGACACATCTTACGTTACCTGTAGAAGTAGATCATTAAAGCACCCTTCAGTGCTTTATAAGACAGTCGTCTTTCTCCTGCGAAATACAAATGTCCTTTGTTACTGATTTTCCTCCAAATGTATTGCTTTTATATGATTTTATGTATTGTATAAGAAATAAGAAGTGCATATTGACATACAGCAATGCAATGTACCTTTGCTAAGCAGGTGTTCATGACGTTTTTCATCAAATAATGAAAGTAATACATCTTTCTGTTTTTGGAATTCAGATAATAGGTCATCTTTTTCTTCTGATTCTGGTTTGGCCTTTGGTATTTAAAACAAAAACATGTTAGAATTCAATAGGGAAAATCAAGTATTTGAACGACCTGTGACGCAACTTCTATTTTCATCATCAGTACTCTGTAAGTTTACATCTTAAATATAAGATCTGTATTTTCAAACAAAATAGATGAGTCCCTGAGTCACTGTCCTTTAAAAAATAGTATTATCACAAAGCTCTCAGCAGAATTCAGATGAATGAATGTTGAAACAACCTGGCAGCTTATCACTTTTATTTAGGTCCGAAGGCCTTGAAGACATTTTTTTCAAGGCAAAAAGATGACATCCTTTCACAGCCATTGTTAAGAAAATTGTAGATAAAAGAAGTCTAGGTAAGTTAGAAACTTGTAAAAAGATATTCTCAGGAAATTAGTCAATCCTTATGGGTTTTTTTTTTCCATTAAAAATGTACTTATAGTTACATGTCTTAAATAGTTAAATGTTTTACATAGTTAAATAGAAATGGTCTGTTAGTGACACTCCACACAGCACATGGGCCCAAACTTTGTGGAGTTTTACTCTAAACTGTAGATAGAAGTTCTAACTCAAGGTGAAGTTGTACTTTCAGTAAAATAATTCTCAGCACTTCCATTGATACTATCCTTTTGCATTCAAAATCATCCACGTATCTATCACACACTTTAAACCATCTTAGATGTCAATTTATGCAGATTTCCTGGAAAACTTTGCATGTTTTTCTGCTTCTTGCACTGTGAGTGGGCCAAAAGTCAAGTTTATGTCACGGTGTTATCTTGCCAGCTGTCTTTGCTTATAGCTAGATTGAGAGTACATTATATACCTGCACCAAGGCAAATTCCTCTTCTAGACCTTTTAAAACATTCACTTCAAATTGTCCCCAGAAATCAAATCCTTCTGCTTCAAGTCCTGGAGTTCTTTCCAGCCATGCCTATAATAACAATAAGAACAACACCCCTAATAATAATATGTTGAAATACTAACAATGCCAGTGCATTACACTAGAATTACAAGTTACAGCAACATAAATTATTCTGCTACAGTTGCTCTGGTTTAATATCCCATAGAGGTGCTTATTACTGGAGTAAGCATGTCCATGTAGATGATTTATACCTCCATAATGGTGCCCTGAAAACATCCAGAGGTTTCACGTTAAATGACCAGACTTGTAAGACAAAAGCTGTCTCATTCTAACAGTATCTTTAAAGCCAATTACCTTTTAGGTACAGGAAAACAATCTTATTCCATATGTGTAGGATAATTGTAAAGATAAATCTAAGAAGGTATAAAACCAACTATATAACCAGTTCTTATATCAGACAGGCTGGATGCTGACCAAGCAATCTGTCATTTACTTACACCACAATATGCAATGATAAAAGATGCAGATTTACTTGGCAGCTAGCAAAGCTTTCTCATTTATTTCCTTTTAATAATGGGAATGAATTTAGGAGGAGAAAAAAAGTTAGGAATCCTTATGGTCAAACTCCCTTTAGAGATCACTTAATTTAGCTCCTCATCTGAAAGATACAAGAGTGTGAAGTCTTAACAAATCAAGAAAAGCTAGAGAAATTTCTTTTTTATTCTGTATCAGATGTCATTAGACAAATGCATATGGCTAATAAATGGATGCTTTTATTGAGGTTTATATTTCATTGTTCTTTGGAAAGTTATGTTAATTTTGTGTAAGAAGATTACAAGGGAGTTAGAGAAATTGCTGTGAGTAATTCCTCACTTTGAGACAAAGTCCTTAAATCAAGGTAGGGGATAATTAACATTTGTTAAACATCTTTTTCCCTTTCCATTTTGGGTTGTCATTTTTCCTTTTTTTTAACCTCACTTGTAGCCATCACTAACAATGGAAATCTTTTTTAGAAGTTTCCTTCTAAAAAGCATTTAGGGTCATAAAAAAATTTGAATGAAACAGTACATTTATATTCTTAGCTCATACTTTCACAATGCGATTTACTAGTTCAATCATCAGAGTTTTCAGATGAGAGGAAGTGCAGTGAAAAATCAGTTGGTTTACTAATGACTAACTTGTTCACACACAATCAGATAGGAATCCAAAACACAACAGACTGGGAAATTACCAGCATGCTTGCTTCTCTCAAGGAAGAATAATTTGTTAGTGACACCAGTGAAGGACACTCTTGGGAGATGAGGGAACCCAAAGAAAGGTCTAAGGCAGACGATGTTACCTCCACAAGTTGCAGCAGCGTTGGCTCTTGCTCTGATTTAAGCAGTAATTCATAATCCTGCCCCTTGAAGTTATCACGATAATGCCTTCTGTTATAGGGGACTCTCAGACTTTGGTGAACACCAATTTTGTTCTCTAGCAAGCGAAACTGCAGGCTCTGAAAACCTGAGGCTGGGCTTAGGTAGTATCTTTGGGAACAGAAGAAACAACATAAAAATACAGGTTATTTTACAATGATGGGGTTCTCTGGTATTACATATTCTAATTTTCTAGCTATATACTGTTTGTGCATACACAGATACTTATGTTTTTACTGTGTTTTAAAATGGCAGCTTTGCATGTGATGTACAGGAGGGAAAATTAGTGAGTATAATTTCCTTTCCAGACAGAATAAGCAGCTTTGCCTGTCCTGGTTTGGCTGGGATAGACCTCGTTTTCTTTTTAGTAGCTACAATATGTTTCAGATTTAATGTGGGATTTGCTACAAGAAGAATACTGATAATACACTCAAGTTTTTAGTTGCTAAGAAATCAAGGACTTTTCAACTTCCCATGCTTTGCTGTTGTGCAGCTGCACAAGAAGTTGGGAGGGAGCATAGCCAGAACAATAGATCCAAAGTGGCCAATGGAATATTCCGTATCATACAACATCATGCTCAGTATACAGATAAGAGTTGGCTGAGAAATACAGTCTGTCTTCATGGATTATGGTTTTGGAATTTCTCTCCTATAGGATTGCTATCCAGCAACCAGCTGGGCATCAGTCCGGGTGGTGAGCATTTGTGCTGAACATCGCTTACTATCACAGAATCATTTTGGTTGGAAAAGACCTTTAAGATCATCAGGTCCAACCATTAACTTGTTTTGGATATTCTTTTATTCTTATTCTTATTCTCCTCTTCCTTTTCTGTCCTGGTAAACTGATCTTAACTCACAAGATTTTTAACTTGATTCAGTCTGACTGAGGGGAAAGGAATTAATGAGCAGATGTGTGCTTAGCTGCTGGCTGGGGTTAAGCCACATCATCACCTCCAATAGCTATTACAAAAATGTCCTCATCATTAAAGTGCAAATGAATGCATTTTAGTTGAACTAATTATACAGTATAATCTCTACCTGTACAATATAGTACTGTTCAGAAAAACATATAGTGGGTTTCATTTGAGGAATTCCCTCATGGGATTCTCTCAGAGTTAAATTGCAAGACTGTGCTGAAAAAATATATGAATAGAAGTAATGTGAAATCCCACATTGCTAGATAATTGTAATGCATTTTGAATTGCAAATATAAGATTTTGGCAGAAACAGATCACTGATTTGATCTTTTATTTGCTTATTAAATAACAGTATGTTGTTGCAAAGCAGAAGCAAGAATGCAGCAAAACAGATGCCTAGCCCATGGTTTTCCCCAGCTGTAGTGTAATGCTAGACAGTACCAATGTTTCAGACTTCCAGGAGAAGGAAATTGTAGTTTCATGTGTTTTTTAGTTAGGGACCATTAAAAGGCAGAAAGGAAAGTGTACTAAAACAATGTAGAAGTGAATGGGATGCTGGTTGGCACTGAGGTCATGAGTCAGGTCAAGGACACAAGCAGAACAAGTACAGGAGGGCAGGCAGTGGAGGAAGCTGTCTCAAATGGTAGTGTAGTACAAGGACGTAGCTGAAATGAGGGAAGAAATAGAAATCCCACGGGACCAGTTCGGGAAGCCAAAGGATACCAAAGAAAGTCTGGGCAGCAGTAGGCAGAAGAGCTACCAACCACCAGCCCAGCAAGACATTGGGCAGCTAATGGAGAGTAGAAGTTATTGGGAAGAAAGAAGAGACAGCAACACTTCCTTCAGCCACTTGAAGCCTCCAGCACTGCAGACCCACTTAAAACATGAAGCAAGGGAACACTATGCAAAACAAGACAGCTGAAATATCTAGTTGATAATCTATGGAAAGTGCATTTCTCTCACCCAAGCACTTTAATTTGCAATAGAATACAGTGGCAACTGCACAGAGGTAAGTTTCAAGTAAAGTATTAACAGAACCCTGATCTATTTCTATTGTCTTTTTACTCTGAAAACAACCAGCAGTGCCACACAAACATCAACAAGTGATTTGTAATTCTTTGCAGAGCATGCTGGACTCACACTCCAGCTCAGACTCTTAATCAGCCCTCATGCTCTGATGTCAAAGTTGCCTCTCTGAGGTATCTTCTCACCCAGCTGAAGGGTGCATGTGCTACAAGCTGCCAGGGCACATGCAAAATTCACAACCAGTTCTAAGGATGAGAATTACCAACTCATGCATTAAACTGGAGGGATAGTAAGTATTTACCTGAAATCAAAGAAGTCCAGTGGAGTCATAGTTTCTAAAACTGAGAACTGTTCCACAAGTAATTTCAGAATCATTGAAATTCTGTTCATTCGAGTAATAACCTTCAGCATGTTCCTCTCATCTCTTACCTGTAGAAAAAAAAAATATAAAAATAACAAGATATTCTTATTTGTTTCAGGTCTTTTCTCTGTTGAACTCAATAGTTCCCAAGTCCTTTCCGATTGAAATCCATAGCAGCAGAATCTCATATGGAATGGAAAGCCCTGTTTTTAACTGAAAACTGAAACTATAATTTTCGAAGATTGAAATTTTTTTTTCCCTGACTAGTTATAGATTACAAGAAGGCCAAATATATAGGTGTTTTTTTTTCTTTTTTACATGTTTGACTGAAATAGGGGTCACCACAAGAAATTAAATTCCAGGCCAAAATACTTTATTTATATAATTATCATTTCCAGTTATTACAATATTGGTTTAATGCTATATGATATGATAATTATATTGTGCTTTCTATTATAACAACTTTTATAATAATTTCTATTATTGCAAAGGAATGCATCGTAGGGTAGGTGTGGAAAGTACTTAAAAGTTGAGAAGCAAAATAATCTGAGAGACATATCAGGAAAGCATATCTAAAAAGATGTTCATCAGAGACGTGCATTAGCAACCAGAGGAAAAAAGACTGCATCCAGTGAGAAAGAGAAAATATTAAGAGGGAAAACATTTCCTGCAGAGAAGTCTGCTACAATTCCTGTTAGCTTCAATGAGATCAAAATTCTTCCTAAGATCAGGGTACACAACCAAGAAATATCAAACTACAAAAATGAAAGATGATAACCATTTCTGTAATTGTCTTGCTATCTACTTAACCTTAACACTGACATTTCAAATTCTGATCATAAACAATTTTCATTTTTTCAGAGCAATAAATATAAAAGATTACTCTACTAAAGAACTTATTTTGATTTATTACAGTTTGATATAATGTTCACCTAAAAAACCCAAAAAAAACTATGAATGTGTAGGACAGTGAAGAACATTGTCATTTGACATTGTGATAAAATAATTCCATTTTTTCAGTCTGGTGTAGTTTCAAATTTTCTTCATATACACATACTCATGTTGTTCAAGCTACTTCTCAAATTACAAGCAGTCAGCTTTTTTTTTAGTAGATGTACTATCAGGTCAGTAGTTTTTCTTTGTTATCTCTCATTACGAGGTGTGTTTGTCTTCGGGCAGATGTTTAGCAATGTTCAAATATTCCTGTTGTAATTGTAATTTTCAGAAATTCTCATACAATCATACACTGTGGTTTTGATTATTGATTTTTTTTTGATTTGATACACACCTGCAGAAAAGAGTTCTACTTTCCCATGTCAGATATTGGATGGAAGGAAAGAAACAGTACGTAGACTTAAAAAAAATTAACAAAGGCAAAAGTTAAGTTTCTGCAGTTATACAGTACTAGTAGGAGAGTACGGAGGAGCAGAGGAGAATTGGTCTTGGCAATTAATTTACCAGAAAGCAGACTTCAGGAGGAAATAGGATTTTGCAGATCAAATGTCTGTACTCTCAGGATGTAGCAGCCATGCAGCCAAATTTCATTGGGGTTTTTTTATGCTGCTTTCAAAAAAAGAGCACATATTGCTTTGGTAAACCCAAATATATCAGGCTGGAAGGCAGGAGGCAAGAGAAAGAGAGGGCTAGATTTTCCAAAAATGTATATTTGCTCTTAACTTACATGGCCATTTTGAAAGATCACCCGTACAGAGTCCATTTCCCACAGAATCTGCTTAAACCAAAGTTCATAAGCTACAAGAAAGGCACTGTTAGTGTTAACTTCAACTCCGTGTTGGTTTTTTTTCATATCATTGAAGAATTAAAATTCTTGCATTTTTTATTTGAAATTAGTAGTCTACACTTACAGTGCTGGTGCAGATACTCAAATCTAGTAATTGTTAAAGTGTGTTGTCCTTTACCTTAACTGTTACATGAAATAATCTAGCATCAAGAATGTTAACAAATTCTTTTGAAGCATGCTTACACATCAGCTGTTTGATGTACAGAATGTTCATTACAAAAAATCTAGATCTGATACCCCAGTAAAAGCTAGCTCCAGAGCTGCTTACGATCTTTATGTTATGTCCATGTTTCCCATTAATAACAGAAAAATATAACCAAGCCAGTGCCTGCAAAGCTTGTGGATTTTAGCAGTTAGGGAGCACCTAACCAGCATGCAGGCTTCTAGGAAGCCTCTAGATGGCTAAAATTGGGATCGAGTTTCAGAGAAGGCACAAGCCAACACACAAAATGTACCTACAATAAACTGCATAGCAGCCTGTTACTCGGGTGGTGAATGAATTTCACCACCTCAGTTTCTCTAGAAACAGAACCACGCAAATCTTGGTTTACCAACTCCAAAGGTTACACTTATGGTTTCTTAAGCATGGAGTAGAATGCAGCCTTATGAATGACACAGGGATATATAAAAATATAAATGCATATAAAAGAGAAATTGTGACTGTGTCTAAAATGAAAACAAATTGCATATTGCACATTTCAGCCTTAAACAATTCCCTGTGGTAAAAATGCCAATCTACCACTACTGAACTCCTCCCAACTATTTACCTTGATGTGTCACAATGAAAAGATGCTCATCATGGATTTTTTTTCCTTTCTTCTCACTCTCAAGTTCTTGAGCATTCAATATTTTGTCCAGCTGAAACAGAAATATCAGACCATTCTGTAAAGCTCTCAATTCTGCTATTAGCAATGGTAGTCCTAGTGTTTAAAGCTAGGATTAAAAAAATAATAATTAAAAAAAATAAGCCTCATATTCCAGATTGTATGAGAAGTTAAACTAAATGGTCTCATCTGACACTTTCATTTTTATTTTTAAAAAATCTTGCCTAAAATGAATATTTTAGGTTTACTCAATTACTAAGGTCAGGAAAATAATTTTAAAAGTGTTTTTAATTATAAAAAATGAGAAAACAAAGTATCTGGCAGTTTTCCAGATTCTACATCACTATTTTCATTGTTCTGCAAAAATGAAGATCCTATAGTAACGTTCTATGTAGCCGTGCAATAACATTTCTTCTCATGAGCTCTGATTTGAGGCTGTAATATTTATTTCAGTTCTGGCATTACTAACTTTTTACTGAGTCAAATTCACATTCTCCTCATATTTTCTTTAGAAGAAATCTTTGCAAATTTCCATATAATATGTCAACAAATTAGTCTTCCATTCACAGAGTAATTCCACTCACTTTAGTTCCTGCTGTCAAAAAGAGAAAAAAAGTCTGGATTGCTTTATTACTTATGGCAGTTTATTTTTACTTATTTCCTAACTGCTTCTAGTTGTTGTAGGGATTTTGTTTGTTTGTTTTTTTTGTGCCTCCCAATGTCTGCAATATATTTTTTCCAGCCAAATGTTCCAGGCTTTCATGCAATAATTCAGGGAAGTTGCACACATCTGCTGACATGAAGAAATTGCGAAGTGGTGACTGTCAGACAAAAAAAAAAAAAAGCCCTTTTTGGTGCACCACTTTACACTTTAGGTTTATCAATAGAACAAATTCCCTACGAAATCCCCTGAAATATCCAGTTTCCCTGCAGTGTGAGAAGCCATCCCACAGTCTATCAGCACCATCCCAGCTAAGACCAGCACCTATGCCCTTGAGTGCACTTGAAGAGCTCAGGCAGGTGAAGGGCAGTTGGAGACCTGCCTTGCTGACAGGCTGACTGCTGTCAGTGTGGAATGAGAAGAAACAACCCCATGTCCTGGCTCAAGTCCTAAGAGCAACTAGGGCAGTAAAAATTGAATCCTTGCACTTACTTGTAGGTAGTCTCCATAGACAAGTCCACCTCTGCTGGCTTTGTTTATCCCTTCTTGAGATTTGTCATCTTTTTCGTCTTCCAAAGATAGCTTGTCAAAGTTAAATCTAAGAAGAATATTACGTAAATATATAAACTATTTAATTAAAGAACAAATATATGACTATATGTTAATAGATATATCCGCCTTTTCAGTAACCTGCATCTATAATTGAGAAAACTAACCACTAAATCAAGCTTGTGAAAAAAACAATCCACCTGCAGCAACTCCTTTCCCAGTAACAGCTGGTAGCATTCCATCTAGTTCAGTAAATACCAAGTCCTCATAGAAGTCCTTGTACAATTTCTTCTTTAGTGATAGCTACAGCTATTTGTTGATAATCATTACATCTTCTCTCAACTTCTCTAGTTTACATTAACACTATATCTTTTGAACTGACATGATGAAGCAAAACACGGAGACAAGGGACTCACAGGTAGTTGTTCCTCGCAAAGGGGCACCCGCTCATGATTCCAGGATCCAAACTCACTGAGCTGCACAGGAGGGAATATATTCTGTTAGTGTTCCCAGATCCGCTGCTGCCACCTTATATGTAACTTTATCTCACCACCTAGGCCAGCCCCCAAATTCTCCTTCTTTGCCATTAGCCCATCCCTGCTATTCAATAATTACAGAAACTACCACGGCACAAAGGTCAGTAAGTTCATGTGTTGTTGGCTCACTGGATTTTGTTGTTTGGCTTGTTGGTTTTTTTTAATCAGTCAAAACAGGAATGGCTGGCATACTTTTTTTTTTGTCCTATGGCACACGGTTTTTGTGCTTTTTACTGCAAGGTTTCCCACAGTTGCTTCTTTGGGGATTTAGCCTGGTGCAAGGGCTAAGTCACTGAGAGGTCTGTGTGTGAGAAAAATAATTTCATAAATTCAGGAATTGCTAAAGAAGGCTTGTAACTTGCAGCCCTCTCTATCAAAATACCGAGATATGCTTAAGTGTAAAAACTGAAACATACGGAAGAGGGAAAGGGAAGGTAAGCAGAGCATACTTCTGTTGCAGACTGAATGATGCTTGTAAGACGTCTGAAGTAATACTCATGCTTTCACACAGATTGCATAAAAGAACAAAAATAATCATGTACATCTCCTGCTGTTTTTCCATTTGTTTAATTCATGACAATTTCTTAATTTTGTTACCTCACACAAAAGTTCCTTTCTCATTTGTTGACAAATGTTACCCAATTCTGTTTAATCATCAGCTTAACACACAATGAAGTAACATGTAGCTAGTATGCACTTCTTTGCTGCTTGCCAGCCTTTTCTGAAAAAAAGTTAATGCTCAGTTTTACTGCAAACAAGGTACAGGCCCTTGTGACCCCAGACCATTTGCCCTCTGCAAGACTTGCACTGCTTAGTGGTGTCTGTGTGGTGGTTTCAGCTGTTCTAGTCACTTAAGAGTAGCTGGCTCGTTAAAAAAGTCATACAGAGTACATAGGTGATGTATAAATCCTCCTAAGCCAGATGCTGTGTGTCAGGCTATACAAATATCACCTTAAAACTAAGCTGAACCACAAGAAAAGTAGGACTCCACTGAGGCAACCCATCAGCAAGGTCAAGGTGTTCTTCCTTCATGATGTAATACCTGACAGAGTGAAAAAAAAAACGTCTCACCACACACATCTATACAGCTGCTTGGGATGCAGGCAAGTAGAGCTGAAGATGAAGACTTGTGCACTGGTACACACACGTTGAAAACTGTGCTTTTCACCATCCCATTTGCACTCTAACAACTTGATTACAAATGTAATAATATAATCTCTCACATCCACAGATCTCAAAGGCATGGACAAGGAAGGTTTATCTTTTTTTCTATACACCTTTACCTGAAACATCCAGATTGAGCCTTCACAGTTAAATCAAACTTTGTTATCTGTTTTCATGGCACAAACAAAAAAAAAGCATGTGAACCTCTTAAAAATAAGGGCAGTTGAAAAGTACCAAACTCCTAATCTCACCAAAGAAATTACTGTTTGTTTTCTTGAGCAGTTTTAGTTTCTTTTGTGGGACATAGAGAATCCTAAACTTCCAGAGCACTGGTGTCTTGCAACTTTTACATTACCTACCAAATAGTTGAAGGTTTTTGAAGTCTCAGGGACCTTTTAAACTCGGTGCTTAACAAAACATTAACTCCGTGTTTGGGAAGTAATACTATCCTTAATTGGCTCAGGGTTATCAAACTGTCTCAAAATCTGAGGATACTTATCTGAACCAAGCAATGCACAAACTCCCCTCCTGATTCAGCAACAGACAAGCTTCAGTCAATCAGATAAATCAGCCAGACTTCAATAATTAGGAAGTTATTTCCAGTGTTTCCAACACTTACAAACTCTCTGTTTAGGGACCTTTTAGCTGTCTGGTCCCAAAGCACCTCCATCCTAACACCCACCAGCCTTGTAACACTTATGAAACTTGACAATCCAAAGGAACTGCATCTACTACTCATTGCTCTTGCTTGACAACTATGTTCACTTCCTCTTAAGCCCTATTGCGCTGGTGCATTTAAAAAGCGTGGCTATCCCCAGGACCCTCCTGCTGCAAGAACATTCCCAAGTGCCTGAGAGTCCAGTATCAGGAATAGCTGCCTTTTGATCAGTTCTTGTATTCCACTAGTAACCAAGAACCTTACAATATACATGAGAGGATTAAAAAATATGATACCTTAAATAATCAGAAAATGTCGAAGACATCAGAAAAAAGAATCATGAGCAAATGAATCCCTCTAACCATGTTTGTTCAGCTTCAATTTAACACAAGAAATAAAGAGATTTTTTGGAATATCATTGAGTGGTTTGGGTTGGAAGGGACCTTAGAGATCACTTAGTTCCAAACCCTCTGCATAGGCTGGGACACCTCTTGCTAGATCAGGTTGCTCAAAGCCCCATCCAACCTGGCCTTGAACACAGGGATGGGGCATCCACAACTTCCCTAGGACTGTTCCAGTGTCTCACCACCCTCACACTAAAGAATTTCTTCCTAATATCTAACCTAAATCTCCCCTCTTTCAGTTTGAAACCATTACCCCTTGTCCTCTCACTACTTTGTAAAATGTCCCTCCCCAGCTTTCTTGTAGGCTCCCCTCAGGTACTGGAAAGCTGCTATAAGGTGTCCCCAGAGCCTTCTCTTCTCCAGGCTGAACAGCCCCAACTCTCCCACTTGTCTTCACAGGAGAGGTGTTCCTGCCCTCTGATCATTTTAATGGCTATCCCCAGGACCTTCCTGCTACAAGAACATTCCCAAGTGCCTGAGAGTCCAACTGTTGTTGTCAGACCTGAGTCAAACGGTGACAGCTCCTCTCTGGACTTGCTCCAGGAGCTCCATGTCCTTCCTGTGTTGGGGGCTCCAGAGCTGGACACAGTACTCCAGGTGGGTCCCACCAGGGTAGAGGGGCAGAATCAGCTCTCTTGACCTGCTGGTCATGCTTCTTTTGTTGCAGCCCAGGACATGATTTGCTTTCTGCATGTTGAGCTTCTCATAAACCAACACGCCCAAGTCCTTTTCCTTAGAACTGTCGATACATAAAGCACTGTTATCAAAATACTCAATTAGTTCCTAGAAAAGCCCCAACGACTTAACAGTTCCTTTCCATGTCTGAGAGAATCAGAAATAGGTAAGCTGTTACTTCTGTTCATGATGCAAAATGAAGATGGCAAGCTCAAGTTATGTGTATTTATGAGAAGCCAAATATGTATTTAGGAAAAAAAAAAAAAACACTACCTAGAAAATTTGTTGAAATATGTTTTTAGCATCTAAAATACTTATTCTCTACTCGGTGTATACTTTGTAGAGCAAATGCTATAGACTATATTCTTTACATTAAATGAAAATCCATGTTTAGCAGGCAAAGTATATGAAGATTTCACACACAAACTGGAATTAATTTGCTCCTCTTTTCTGCATCTCACAGGTAAACTCAACTGAAAAAAATGTTCAGTTTAAGCTATGTGTAAGTTCAATCAGTCTGAACTGATGCTGCAGTAATTTAAAAGTCCACATTTCACTTTGAAAATTAGAAGTGTCAGAAGTAAGAATGACCTCCAATGTATTGTCATGAACCCAACAAAATCTTCTCTCCTACTGAATTAGAAGTGACCTGTTCACCCAGGACAAACCTAAAGTTATCCTACCTGAAATAACTTATGGAGAAGAAAAAAATGTGCATACAAATGGTTTGGACAGTGTCACCCACCCTTCTGCTCAAACTCTCATTTTGATTACAAAATCATTACAGATCAATTTGCTTTTCCAACGTTCATTAACTTGAACAAAGAGCTTCAAGACCTTCTGGCAGCAAACAAGTGACGCTTGAAGCTTCCCAACATTGTTGCTCCAGAATTACAGACTAGGAGGTATCTGGCACAGAAGGCTTCTACCTACATAGCAGTGGCTGCATTGGGTTGGATAAAAGATCCAAGTAGGTCATGCCATGCTGAAGAGTTTGTATTAGAAAGTAGCAGGTGTCTTGAGAAGAGCTATCAGAACAAAACAATTAAACATTTAAAAACAAAACTAAACTAAAGAAAAAAAGCAAGCTTCCAGTAAGATAATTTCTGCAGTTTATCCATCTACCTTTCCAACGTCGATAGGCTTGGACTTCCCAAGATACTTATATCTTTTTACTTAATTACACTTCTTCTGTGAATCCACAACCTGCAGCAATGGGTTCCATAAAAGAAACACATAGTGTAAAAGAGTATTTCCCTGTGTTAGTTTAAATCTTCCTGCCAAATAACCAAGTAGTTTTAATTTCCATCTGGTACTAAGTCATGGCTTATGAGAAACAGCTATATTACACCTTTATAGTCCAAATCACCCTTTCTTGTACTTGTGCAGATTCTGCTGTGACCTTTTTGAGGTGCAACATTCAAAAGGCAAATAACTTTTTGATGTATGCATGTGAACATTGTTAGTTCCATAAAATGATAGTGATGAAAGAATTTGTCTCTTGGAAAACAAACCCACAACAACAGTGGTGAAAGGCAGTACAGCAGCTATTGGTAGGTTTTGGTTGACAAAGTGCAACTTAAATTGCGCAGGTGAAGCAGGCAGTAGCCTAAGCCAGAACCCCTCTGCGCTGGCTGCTACACAAGCACAGAACAAAAGTCACTTCCCAGACAATTTAATAAAATAACAAAAGATAGACAGGTGAATAAAGACACACAGAAGGAACTGAACTTGCCATTTGTCTAGCATTTGAAATAAACAGTTAGTTTTAAGAAAATATAAAATTTAGTGACTCAAGGCTAAAACAAACAAGCTTGAAGTTGATGCAATATTAATAATCCAATCAGACATTTGTACCTGGGGGAGGAACAGAGCTCAAGGTCTTGCAAACTACAAACAAAGAGAAGAGATAGTGCAGCAAGGATTTTATTTTTAAAAAGATATTGTATTTGTTCAACTTCTTAAACACAAAGAACTGTGTCATCACTTCTCAGCATACCTTTAGCTTCCATCT